ATTCAGTAGATTTGGTAAAAAATGTAAAGTCGACCGCTAGTTCTGTTTCCGAACCTTGATGTTTCTTTTCATTGTTTTAGCATTGTTCTAAATTATTTCTTTTAATATGCACAAAAAATTTAAGTTTGGCCCGCAGTATCTCCCTAAAAATAGTTTATTTACACTTGTCTACCACGAAGAAGTGTATATCCGCCGGAAACTCGACTTGCGAAATTTGTTGCCATCACATGACCTCCCATATTGTATACAATGCGGTCGATAATAATTTTGTGAATAATAAAAATTTGATAAAAAAATACGGTATGACTTCGGTTTCGATCACGCGCGGCACTAAAACGTAATATGGGAAAATTTGCTATAACTTCGATAAATTGATTAATGTGTTCTCCTACCTTCAAATGGCTTTCATTTAAATAAAAGGGATGTTTATCAAATATGTTAAAGTTTTATAAAAGTTTTAGAATGGAAAATAATCTGTCCTTATCCGGTTTTAAACTGCGAATTAAAACATAGTTTCGATTAAAAATGTTGAGTCTACAATTGAAATTGCAAATTGTCTAAGAAAAATTTTTTATAATAATCGAACTATAATGATACAGGGTCAGTACTGAAAACTGATTTATAAACACGAAGTACATACATATATACTGGAGAACAATAAAATCATATAAAACAAATGGAGAAGTTTTAAAACCTTCTCAACTTTAGTATATAAAAATTAACATCACATTTTTCAAAGTTTAGAAAGATCAAACCATCTTTCCAAAGTATACTTTAAAATTGTTCGCAATACTCTTTAACAAGTTTATTATTAAAATATTATGACAAGTGATTATTGTGGACAACTTTTTAAAAATAATTTGACATCACTCAAAAGATGATTAGTTATAAGTATGAAGACCAATAAATATTGGTTGAAAAGATTGTTAGTGGGAATTGGCATTAAGTACATTCAAAAAATTCCTTTATAACCAATAATGGTAATTGAAGTCATACTATATTTAAATATCGTTCGATTCCTCTACCTCTTTCAAATCGTATCCTTCATCATTATATAAAACTTTTACATTTAATTTTCCTTCTAAATTTTAGTAAGGGTTCCTTATCAAAATATACATGACAGCATTTATCGTAAAATGAGGTATTTGTTTTTATTTATTCTGATCTAGGGGACCTAGTAAAAAATCAACAATAACTTTTAGAAAATGAAAACGCTAGTGGTCCATTTTAATTAATTTTATTGGTATGTTGGACGTAACATAACATTTAAAGACCATATTTAATTAAAACTTTCGCAAGGGTATTCAAAATAAAGTTATAATATTAAAAATGTGATAAAGTTTTCTAGATTTGTGATCGTATTTATTTGCAAATGTTATTCATAACAAAAAAAAATTATGTAAAAATTAAAAATAAATTTTAAGGATATTTGTTAACCTGTAAACAAAATGCTTATATAAATTTTATGATTTCCTGTCTATAAAATATAGTGACTATATATAAGCTACATATATTGTGTATTACTTGAATAATTTTGTTGCTATTCATAAAATTTATTAGAACTTTCAAAAAAATAAATTTTGAAGAAAAAGTGCTTATTAATTTAACTGTGTCCGTCCATACGTCCATACGTTCTTCCGTTCGTCCGTGTGTACTTACAAAACTTCAATACTCTTGGAGATAGACAACTGAAATTTCACATATTTTCGTAGAAACAATTTGTTACATATCTTCTAGCCTCTAAAATTTATAGAATCTCAAAGCCCCAAAAATTAGCATTTATTTGATTACTTATAATAACGGAACCACAAACATTTTTTAAATCTTGTAAACGCAGAAAAATACGGCGACATAGCTTTGCCGAACTTTAAAAAAGCAAAATGGCTGTTAAATTAAGTGTTACGTAAATTACGTAATTTACTTCGCTCATCTTCTAGTCTTCTTCTTCTCCTATAAGCAGTAAGAGTCTGAAATTTTAATAACTTTTCGATATTAATAAACAGTTCATTTTTCGAAAAGAATTTTTTTTTTACTCAAATTTGATCCCCCTTCACATTATAACCTCCCGAAATTTGTAAAAATTCGAATTTTCGGTATATACCTTATATATTTCTGAAACTGAAATGTTATTTCAACATATCAGGTTATAATGGTATATGATTGATACCATTAAACCAATTAATGGTAACTAATTGGTATATGAATGAAACTAATTCAATATAGTAGAAATAATGAGTGATGAAATAATGTAGTAGATTAGTTTTAAAAGTAGTATATTCACTTTTTGAAGGGAAATAATTGCTTCCATATAAACCATTGGTTTGACCAAAAATTTATTTTATTATTTTAATTTAATTTGCCGTCCAAAAATATTTATAATACAATTTATTTATTTATTTTATATAAGTATAATAATATAAAATATTAATTTAAAACAAGTATGCTTTAAGCATTTAAGTATTTAATTGGCATTTAAAAATTTTCATGTATACAATACAAATATTAGTTTAACAGAAAAATATTGTATATAAAAAAAAAAAATTGTAAATAATATTTACTTGTATATATATGTATGTATGTATGTAGATCGGTAATGGACAGATAAAACCCAAAATATATAGAATTTTATAATTGTTACATTTAATATTTAAATTGTTAATTTTAAATACCATAAATATAAATTCGGTAAAATAATAAAATAATTTTATTTATAATTTAATGCTAACATTAAGAGATTTTAATAGAATTAAGTTAAATTACTTCCTAAAATATTAAATACTCTTAATAAACTGAAATATTAGAAAACAAACTTGTATAAATTTGCATCTAGCTCTTTCACAGTAAAAAAATGTTTTGGAAGCTGAACGGTAAATAACTGAAAACTGTCGCATGTAGTGTAGCTTGAAAAACTTCAATTTTTAATATATGTATTCAATAAATTCGATAAAACTAACATCTCAGAATTTTGAAGGCTAAAATATCAGAGGCAGTAGAGTCGCATTCACAATATTTGTTTATATAAATAAAGTAAATTTTATTGGAAATTTTTATATGGGAGGAATAAGAGAACAAAAACAGATAAGACAAGAAGCATAACATCTAAATTAAAAAATTAATAATTTATTGATAATTTAAATATTTCAGAGTTGCCGTTGCGGGAAAATAATTTATATACAAATAGTGCAAAGAAATCATGTTAGAACAAAAGAAAAATTTAAAAGGGCAACTCTTTCCAACTAGAAATTTGTTTCGATTCTTTCAGATTGAAAATACAAGTGTTTACAAATTTTAACAAAAAAATTCCCGATGATTGGTTGTCAGTTATCAAAAAGTGACATTCTTATGATTTTGAGAGGCTGCCACTTGACCAGGAGAGAAGATGGGTGAAAATTTTCATCTAGAGAAATGATTTTCTCGGCAAGATGTTTAGGAATGATCAAATGAACTAAGTGACTCGGACAATTTTTATACTAAAATATAATATTATTACATACTGTGACGTACATACATATATTCATAATTATTGTTTCAATAACGTTCGCATTTAATTTATCACTGTATAGGTGAGATTCTATTTCTATACATAATGATGATGGAATTAAAAAAAAAATTTTTTTTTTTTCAAATTATTTAAGTATTAATGAAAATAAACTTGATTCAATTGACAGAAATAACAATTTCATATAAAAATTATTTCGAATGCCATTATTGCAATTTAAAAATAACTAATTTTTTTTTTTGTTTTTAATATAATCTCTATACAACTACAGTGGAGTCCGCTTATAGTCACACAAAAAATTTCATAAAAATGTGTGACTATAAGCATCATATGCCTATAAGCGTCAGTAGAAAAAAAAAATTTATAAATAAAACTCAAAACTTTATTTTTTTTTTATTTAATTTTAAATTAAGTACACAAATGTGACAGAAAAAAATATTTAAGTTACAAAATTTGCCGCTACGAATTCGACAACAAATATTGTAATTAAACTATTTGCCGTAAAGTAGGTAGTAAAACTACTTACCGCTTTAAAAAAAAAAGGCGTTCAGAGTATGTGACTATAAGCGACGTCAAATATATGAATTAAGCAATATGGTTCACAAAAAATACGATCCAATAACCGTATGTGACTATAAACAAATGAAAATACATGAAAATATAATAAAAAAGATGTTGACAACGAAATTGTTGACTGTAACCGAATTATGACTATAAACAGTAGTGACTATAAGCGGATTCCACTGTATAAATATACAATATGTAAATTCAATATTTTTCACATGAATATTTGAATATTTAATTTTATCTTATACAAAACGAATTAAAAATCACTTAAAATAAAAAAAAAAATTTAAAATAATTGGAAAGTCATTCTAAATTATTACATAAATACGGTTATGAAACAAAATATCTTAATGCAATATTTTAACACGACGTTACGGTATGTAATGTTAAATGTTATTTAACATGTTTGCAACAATGTTGCACAAAAATTAAGTTTCTATTTAATGAAATTAATGGAACAAATGAGAGGCGAAAAAAAAAAAAAATTTACAATAAAATTAATAATAAAAACTTGATCTGTCAAATAAAATTGTTATTTTTTTTGCTAGTAATTTATAGTATACGCTTACATACTAACATGTATAACGTATTCATATATAATTGGTGTACGTATACGGTTCATTACAGCAAATATAATTAATCATTCACTAAGTTATTCATACCAAAAAAAAAAAAGAAGGGTGTATCAAATCTTTATTATTGAGCGCATACTTTGTTGCAAATTTATAAATTTAATTTATAGTTACTTAGCTGTTGACCCGTTAAATTGTATAATGAGATCTTTGTATGCAATTTTTAGCTTAAAAAAATCTTGTTATTTTCATCGAATCAACAAGAAAAATTAAAATTGTTTAAGAATATTGTCAGGTAAATTTAATAAATGAAAAACGATAAAGAAAAATATTAATAAATAAAAATAAAAAAAAAAACATACCATATTCAGACGGCATTGAACATAAAGCAGGATGTGCTGGACAAATATCATGTGGATGATGAGGTATAAAATATCCATGTTCAGTTGGATAAAATTCCCCCGCATATGGAATGTAAATACCACCAGGTGGTGGTGGAGGTTGTGGAACTGCATTACCACCAGCAGCTCCACCTTGATTTGGACCATTTGGACCATTTATTGGTGATGAACTAGAACCACCACTAGTATTACCACTTGTATTATTAACAATATTCGTTGAATTTATTACAGGATTATTACCACCACCGATATGTCCATTTTCATGAACATGCTGTGAAACATGCTGACCACCTTGTTGTGATTGTTGTGGCTGTTGTTGTGATTGTGGACATGGTTGTTGCTGTGGTGGTGGTGGTGGTGGCGGACCATGATGATGATGGTGATGATGATGATGGGACGGATGTTGTTGTATTGGTGGTGGCATATGAGGATGTGGTGGCGGTGGCGGTGCAATCTGTTGTGAAGATTGTTGTTGTGGCGGTCCACCCATATGCGGATGATGATGTTGCTGTTGCTGTTGTTGATGTGCCATTGCAGCTAAATGTGCTTGTATAACAGCTAATTGCTGTTGTTGTTGCTGCGGAGTTTGATGTATAGCACATGGTGGTTGAGGATGTGGTGGTAAACCTTGTGGCGGTGGATTTGTCATAACTTGAATAGTATGTGCTGCTGGATGTTGTGTTTGAATTAAAACACTTTGTGGATTTGCTGGATTCGTTTGTAATTGTTGCTGTTGTTGTTGTTGTTGCTGATGATGTCCTAATATAGCAGCTGGTATTGGTGCTGCAGTTATTATAATTGGTAATTGTGGAGATGGCGTAGATGGTGTTAATGAACCTTCTGGTGTTACTACCGTAATATTACCAGTATTATTATGATGATTATTGTTATTAATTCTATTATTTATTATATTATTACCATTACTAGTATTATTATTATTATTATTATTGGCATTGGATGTATTACCAACGCCATTATTATTATTACTGTTACTGTTATTGTTATTATTATTATTGTTATTTGTTGTTGGCATTGGTGTATTAACTGTTGTACCAGTTGTGACTACAACTGTAGAAGTATTTTGAGTTGCTGTTGTTGTCACACCTGATGTCACTGTCGATGACATTTCAGTATTTAATTGTGAATTTGTATTACCAGTCGTTGTTATATTGGCTGTCGAAACAGCAGCTGCATCAACAGTTGTTGTTGCAGATGTTGTATCATTATTTGTGCTATTTATTATTGGCTGTTGTTGTTGTGGCTGTTGCTGTTGTTGCTCTGGTGGTGACGTAATAGCCAAACGCACCATAATTTTATATCATAAATTTATAAGGAACAGAATTTTTTTGTAAAAATGTAAAAAAAAAATTTCTTTTTTTTTATAATTGATTTTTCTTTTTTTTTTTATTTGAAAATAAAAAAACAAAATTTCCTTTTTTTTTCCTCTTTTCACAATTTTTTTTTTCACTTTAACTTGCTGTAATTTTTTTTTTCTTCTCAATTAATTTTCGTTTTATTTTTAATTTTAATTAAATTTTAATTTTTTTCTTTTTAAAAATATTTTCTTATTTTTTTTTTCTATTTATTTACAAATTATTCACTTTTTTCTTTTCATTCAGAAATATATATATATATATTTATGTATATAACAAGAAATTTGACACATTGACTTGCATTTAATATGACATTAATGACATTTAATTTATAAACAAAATTATATAATTTAATAAAAAATGGAAAAGCAATAAATTTGCAATATTTTCTCTAATAAATTTTTTTTTTTAAATTTTAAACAGAATAATTTGTTGTTCCCTTATAGGGTATAATTGCACTTTGATTATTTTGTTCTTTAAAATGACAATAAAATTTTTACAATAACAATATGGAAAATCAACAAAATATATAGTTTAACTGAAAAGATATAAATTAAAATTTAAATTTTATTAATAAAATTAATTTTTTCAATAAAAATATTAATTTTTTTAATGTAGAATGTGTTTTTAATGTTCTGTGTGTTTATTCACCTGAAGATTTTTTATATTTTGTGCTCTTTATACTTACTAACATAAATTTTGTATATACTTTTAATATCTTTCTTGTTTTTATTAAATTTCTAATTTAAACAATGTAAAATAAATTATATAATTAATTGGAAATCATATATATATGTAGAAGCCTGTATGTCTTCATTAATTATAACAGTAAGTAATATGAAAATACGTATATATATCATAAACTTGTAAATTATTTAATTGTTAAAATTTCATATACATATGAATTTTAATAATTATATGTATTATCTCATATTGTATATGAAATTAAATTTAATTTCATATACATATGAGATTTTCCTGAAAATCAAAAATCAATTCTATATTGCTTATATATATTTCAAATTTATAGGCTTATTTCATTGCATAATTTCCACATAAAGTATTAATATTTAATTAAAACATGATTTGATTTCATAACAAAATACCTTTATACACTTATATTATATATATATATATATATATATATATATATATATATGTGTGTTATACGCATGTAATATTTTTGCCAAAAATTTCAATCTATGAATAAATTAATATATAATAAAAATTTTATACTGACATGATTATTCGTACAGAGATCAATGTACATACATATACGTAATCATGAATTAAAATATGCATATTTTATATCTAATAATAATTTAATAATAAAATATGCATGTATGTATACATATATATATATATATGAAAATTTATTGTATAACCGAAAAGCACAATAATTTGAAATTTTAAATCATCATTAGTATTTACGTAATTTATATATGTATATAATATGATGGCTAATTGTTTTTTAATTAATTGAATAAAATACAGTGCAATATACTAATTATCTAATGGCAAAATAATAACTTAAAATTATTATAGTCTCTCATAATATTATTAAAATAATTTGTTAAATATTGTATAACAAAATAAGTATGTTACTTATATTATGTAAACATATAAATAAAATACTTATTTTGTATAACAGATTGTTATATAAATATAACAGTTTATATAAATATAGCAGTTTATAAATATTACAGTTTATATAAATACAGTTTATATAAATATAGCAATTGATAACCAAATTACTCTGAAGCACTTGAGACCGATTTGTAAATGGAACACTGTTCTATATTCAAAACTGTTATATGTATATCATTTTTCATACGACAATGCGAAACCATCTACCGGAATGTATTTACGTTAACATTGCTGTGAGCTTCTCTTTTCTATATTAAAGTGTTATACGTAAAATGTTATACATCATGGATGTTATATACATAATTAAAATGTTATACATTCATATATGTACTTAATTAAAACACAATTATAATATATACGGTACAACATATACATTTAACTAGTTAATTTGCTTTAAAAAAAATTAATAATAGTTGTGTTCTATTTCCTGACTATACAAATATTCTATTTATAATTGAAAAAGTGTTAATATAAAATTTTCAACTGTTCAGCACCTCAAAGAAGATCGGTAAATAAAAAGAATATTTTATAAAGTTAAGAAGTAATTATACACATTTATTCCGGTAGATGGCTTTCTTATATTTCATTTCCATATAAAATGGCACTTTATGATAAATTTCTTTTATACACAGTCGAACGCTCTTATTTGTAACACGCATACACGCATTCCATTTTTTGCACACATGTAATTTTTCAAATTAAATAGAAAAATAGATATCTGTATAATACCAATTATACATATTTAAAATACACAAAAAATTAGCTCGAAAGGGTACGCATATTATAAGTATGTTCGACTGTACTACTGCAATAACACATGTAATCTTATGCAACTGCTCTTAAAAGAAAAACAAATTATTTATAACTACTTTAAAATAAAATTTTTCAATTTGTCGTTTTCCCTCAAATCTTGTCCTTCAAATCTTCACCCATCAAATCAAAATTTTAGAATTTATTTCATTTTATAACTAATTTCTAAAATCAATTTTAGAAATTCATTCTTACTAACACTCAAAAATTATACTTGATTTAACACACATATGATTTCATGTTGAAATTTAAATGGAAATTAGAAAAAAAAAAACCCTTCCAAAATACAAAATTATCATTTAAATTAAAGGCTTTAATTATTATAAGTCATGAATCATAAATATTGTAGCATGCAGTTAAGAATTTATTCTTCAATTTTTTTTTGTTTGTGTTTTTAATTGAAATGTTTCGTGTGGGTATTCATTAAAGTGACATTATTATTGCGTGGCATGAATTTGAATTGTTTTTTCAATTATTTTAAATACTCTAAATTTAAAATGATAATTTTTGGTTCACAAAAAAAAAAAAAAGAAACTAAAAAAAAAAATTAAAATTACTTATTTATACCTAATCATCATTAGAGTATTAAATTTTAAATTAGTTATTAATTTTAATTTAAACGTGATTATTATTAATAAATCGATTGTAGGGTTAATGAAAGTTAAATTTTTATTCTGCTAAACTGATTTGCAAATCATTTAATTTTTTCTTCCTCCGTTATATACATACTTTTAGTGATGGCATCGAGCTTTACATGGCGTCACATGGTATCATTGAGTCTGTTTGACTGTTACTGATACTGCCTGCCATAGTTATACACAAATCCTGTACATATATCAATAATATTTACCGCAAGATATCAGTCCGGTCAGAGTTGTGCAACAACAGGTCCTTCTGATTGTCATCTGATATTTTTGTTGATTGTGGATATACATATATGAATATGCTTATTTGTACGTATTTATGTAATGTACTGAATCTGTCCAGGTACGTCTATCATAATCATTTTCATATAATAATATTATAATTTTATGCTAATATTCATTATAAAAATTATGTCTTTTAGCTACAAACATATGTACGTATATATGTATACATAACTAAAATGGAAGGTATGATTACATATTGCATAGCGTCAATTATGTATCTCTACCAGGATTGCCATTTTGGCCCAAATAAATCAATTGTGTTCAATTCTTTTTTTGTTTAAAATCATAAATACACCGTTTAAATTTGTTTTTTCCACTTATTGCAAATAATTCAGAATTCTTTATATTGAATTTATAAAAATTAATCATTTTTAATTTGAAAATTATTATGAATGATTAAATTACTTATTAAAAAATAATTCTTGCAAAAATTTAATTTTACAACTAAAAATGATTTTGATTTCTTTAATTTTTTACTTATTAATTTACAATTAATTTTATATTTCTGCTTTATTTAAAATTATATTTAATATTCTTAAATAACAGACAATATTCACTTTTGACGTACATATTATGTATGTATATTTTATAGTGAAAATGTTATTGAAATCAGTCAAAAGTGTAAATCGAAGAATACACAGAAAAACCAGAATACAAAAAAAAAAAAAACGAAAAATAAATCGAGGGGAATGAATATTCATGCATCTATAAAAAAAAATTTATAAAATTCTAAGAATTGTTTACATATGAATTATTATAGGGTTGCCATATAAATCTGATTAGGGTTGCCATAATGATTTTGTAAATGATATTTTCGATAACGAATTTATATTTGCATTATATTGACAGCTATTAAAATTTCAAAACAAAGAATATAACACAATTGTTTAATTTCTTTACGAAAGATGACGTAAACGTAATTAGTTTATATAATAATAAAAATATGTACTAAATTTAAATAGTTGTTTTTATATTTTTAAACTCTATATTTTCAACTGTTATACTGAGTTATATTTAACTGTTATACTGAGTTATATTTAACTGTTATACTGAGTTATACTTAACTACTATACTGAGTTAAACTTAACTGTTATACTAAGTTATACTTAACTGTTATACTGAGTTATACTTTAGAGTTTTCTATACTGGTTTGAAATAAATATATTTTTTTGTATAATTTTTGTTTTTCAAAATTATTTCAAGAAAAATTTATAAATAAAAATTCTCTGGCAATGCTATGTATTATATTTAAAGTCAAAATTGAGTTTATTTATTTAATAGAAGATTAATTATAGTGTCGTTTATTATTTTGTTTTTTTTTTTTTTGTTAATATTTTTAACAATTAATTATACGATTTATTATATTATCATTTTATTTAAAAAAAAAAAAAAAACTTTCTAATTAAAGCTTTTTTAATGATGATTGTCGTCTGTTATACAGTCTTGTGCTATAACATTTGTACATAATTAATGTGATTTAATATGTTTGCAAATACATATATGTATATATATTGAAAACGTAGTCTTGTGTGTTAATAAAGAAATTATAAGCAAATTAAAAATTTCAATTACTTAAGTAATTTTTTTTTTGTAATCGAATTTTTAGATTAAAATAATTCTAAAAAAAAATTCTTATTACAGTAGAAATCTGCTCTAGTGAACGCCCGACTTTATGAA